ATCGGCATAGACATCTGTGAAGTACCGCTGGCTCTAATGGCAATTATTTCTGTAGGAGGTGATGCCAGGTGATGTCATGAGTACGCTTTCCTTACACTTTCCTGTGTTCTTGTCAAGAACATACTTGGCAATAACATCAGTCATTGAGAAATGGCCTCCTTGTAATGCGGCTGACAAATGCTGCATTCTTTTTGCCCATTTTTATGGACGGTCCGGTGTAGGTACTAGATCTGTTCGAGTGGTCAGATCTGCTTGGGACCCTGCCCCTTCTTATGCCATCATATGGCAACTCCACTCGGACAAAATGTATTGCACCCGTTCCTTAAGACTCAGATCTCCTTTGGAGTATAAACATTTTATGACCTATATTTGCTATTATTTTATATTTCATTGGCGATCTAAAGAAGCCAAAAGAAGAAAACAATCATTTTCAGTCTTGAAGGAAAGTACTGTATTCAAAGACTGACCTCTGCCATTTACCAAGGTGACAAAAAGAGTCTCAGGCTTTATTCTTTTTTATGAAGATCCGAGGGCAGAGATTTTAGATAAAGAAAACAACAGTCATTCTTCTTGAAATTAACAGTAGTTGTTGACAGAAAGTTATAAGTAGTGTAGCTTAATAGGGCTTGGGTGTCATTACTTTGCGTGGCCACCATGTTGATGGCCTCCTTTACCGCTGCTCAGACTACGGCCTATGACTACCCAGTACTGTACTCCCTCTCAGCCGCGTTTTAATTTGATTAATTTCACCTTAACTTGATTTCAACCATGGCAAACCGTTGCTGTATTGTGGGCTGTAACAGCGCAACACATGATCGCCATGGGAAAAACATAGAAAATGGGTTAACTTTCCACCGCTTTCCTGCCTGGAGGCGCAACCACGGAGACCAAGTATCACAGTTAAATAGTCGTTTGCTAGCTTGGATCGCGGCTGTAAGACGGCCGAACATAACTTTCCACAGTATCCCAATGTCAATGAGAGTGTGTTCCCTGCATTTTCATTCTGGTAAGTTTAAGATGCACGGTTTTATTTAATAGCCTACATTGTTTCTTTCCTTCAAGGTTGGGATCTTTTACGGGAAAATAATAAAAATGGCAGTGGGAAAAGGCTCAAATACATGAGAAACCCGGAGGGTTTAGGGAGGTTTTGCAGTTAACGTTACTAACTACACCTTTGAAACACATAGCAGATAGTTAAAAGTACATTACACGCGCGAGTAGTTGTTAGCCCTAACGGTTAGCAATTACTAAACTAGCAGGTTCCAGAGCCCGTCTAAGCACAGCTTACCTTTGTACGGATTACTGTGTTCCCACTGTTTGCTGGCTTTATGATCTGCAGCTCCTGAACACATCCATTCATGAACTGCATATGAGACTCCAAGGACTTGTAGCTTCGGAACTGTTTTGAAGTACAGGCGCTCATACCACAAACAAGGTAGCCTAAGTCGTCTGATATACAAAATTGTGGCAAAAAGTCGTAGTCGGTGCTCCACTCATTGTTTGGAACTTCATCTGGATCCAAATTATTAATAATGCTGATTTTGTCTACATACCCTGGCTTCTCTATTAAATGAGTCCCGGTAAATTCCAGATCCTTTTCGGGATTTTAACATCTTTTTTCTTTCTACATCTACGTCTCTTCGTTCAACAACAACGTTGTATCAGAGCTATGTTTACATTCGCGTAGCCATCAACATGGCCGCCACGTCCCACAATGCAACGCGGATCCCAAGCCCTATATGTCTAATTGACTGTGCTAAAAGAGGCTAATTTGATAGCTACTGAGCAGAGCTAGTCACAGCGCTACCCAGCTCTCCCCCTTCATACAATGGTCTTACTTTGTTTACCATAAACATATTTTTTTCATTTTTTTTATCAGTCAGGTAAAGCTTCAACAGTCATTAGACATGCTAACATTATATATGATCCCAACTTGGCACACGAACGCTGTATGAAGTTATTATCGTTGTAATATTTTATTTCTCAGGTAATAAAATAAAATAGAGCGGGGATATGTTCTACTTTGTGGGGACCAAACTAAAAAATTTTGCTTTTTTTCAACCATATGCGAAATACAAGATTTATATGTATTCACCTTCAGCTTTGACACACTTCAAAACAAAGCAGGGGAACAGAACCTATGTTGAGAACAGGCTGGTAAATGCTGTTTTCCTACACCTGACAAAGCAGGCTCACGTTTCATGAATGATGAAAACAAATTACACACGAGGGGAATGAAAACAAATGGAGGCAGTATTTTGTTACCAATTCCTCAAGTTTAAATGTGAGTATAGGGGAGTTACTCAGAGGAGCTGCAGTTTTATAAAGGCATATTTATAGTATGACTTATTTTGTATTTATTTTGATTCCTTGCTTAGCTTCCAGACAACATATTTCATTTTTTTTGTTAGAAATAATAATTGCCAAATAATTAAATGCTACAGATTAAATAACAATACTTTATTGTTTTATAAATAGCTATTTTACAGTCCACTTTCGAGCAGTCATCATTACTTTTGACTAAGGGTAGTCCCAGTGAAACAAAATGTTCAAATGGGTACACAAGTCAAAAAAGGTTGGAAACCACTGGTCTAGGCAACCACAATGTCTTACATCATGTGGCAACGTTCAGCAAATCATTTAGCGTAACATCGCTGGCATGCGCACGGCCCGAGAAGATCTGACCATCCGAGCAGATCGGGTACCTACACCGGTGTATCCTACATAGCCTTGGGTATCCCATGATTCATGGCGAGGCAAGCCAGCTGCTCCATACTCAGAGGAAAAAGGTATTTGCTGCCAAATAGGGGTAAATATTGTATTGGCAGTTTATCGTAGTACAAATGTGTAAATAGTCTAATCTTAAAGGAATAGAAATAGCTGTTTATTGAGTCAGATATGTAGCAGGTAATGTTTGTTTTATTTAAAGGTTTTATCTGTCCCTCTCCAAATGAGTTTGGCTGAGATTGAAGCAGATTCCAATATATCTGCAGTGTCAGGACTATAAGTATGATATTCACAACGATAGTACTGCTGCTGAAGCACCTCAAAAATGTTATTAGCACCCCGAACAGTAGTGAGAAGTTTCATATGCATTCTTTGCCTGCTTTTATTGTCAAATGTCACAGTTGCTAGGCGACAGGGTGTATGCCAGTTGAAAGCTGGAGAAGGCAGGACCTGTTTGAATTTGAGGCCTCCTTATTTTCACTGACCTCAAAGGACCCGGCCCAGGTAGACCCACCACAAGAATGCGAAAACGGACTTGGTGTCCTCGCCAAGTATATTCTTGACAGGAACACAGGAAAGTATGGACTTGGGGCAAATAGGAGCATGCAGCATAAATATGGATCAATAGGAACAAAAGTGTACTATTGAAGTCACCACATGCCCGGCTCGTCTAGAGCTGCATTTCACCTTCTGTTATTAATAGACTCTAGGTAATAATAAATGATTACTTTTTTCATTTAGTGGGGAAATAATAATTAACAGTCGGATAAACACAAATCAAATGAACATTTTGCCAAATAAAACAAAAAATTCGCCATCAAAGCCAGCGTTACTTCAAACACAGCTATGCCAAGAGAGGGCTGCTGCAGATGGGCTGCGGTTAGACCTGGCTGCTGTGACCATCGGAGGTCCGCTGGTTGAGGCGGTCCTCACAACTTTGGAATTTTTTTTTTTTAATTATGCATTAAATCAGTAAATGAACCATAAAGTAACGCTTTAAAGTATGTAATTATTGCGTCAAATGATCTAACAAACCTACTAATATTGAACAACAGCAACAGAAATGAGAACTTTTGACTTTCTATGGAGTGCTGCTGCCTCGATGCATGCTCGGACGGCTGTCAATCTCAAGACTCTGCTCTGATGCATACTAGGTAAATAGGGAGAGGCGAGAACAACATCCGGGGACTGTCTGTTCTTGGTCTGCTGTTCTTGTGAATTGGAACAGTACTAGAGCTGAGGTTGATGATTCACAAGTACATGAGCACATGAGAGCGCACAAGTACACATATTGAAAACAGCCCAAGTCATTGGAGGATGGAGCGTTTGAAATTGCACACACACAGTAGCTGAACAGGTAGGCTGGGAGGATGTAGCTGCTGAAATTGAGCAGACCCAGTAGGTGTGGCTATGTCAACCAGGGTGTAAGTAAAGTACATACATTGATACAGTGATTCAGCAAACAATAGAAGATCGACAAAGTTATTGAAATACAGTTTGTAATTTCTGGGAAAACACTTTGGCGTAGGCATTTTATTTTAGCACACTCATCGGAAGAACTCCTTGGTGAACATGTGATAAATCTAGGCTGATTAAACACAAAAAACCAAATATGCAGATAAGAGAGCCGAGTCTTGCAAAACTACACTAGTTCCTGAACTTCAGCCAATTTCTTTATTACTGGACACTGATTAATCCAGGTGCGTTTGGCCAATGTCGTCATGGCTCCTGAGGTCAGATGGTTTTGTTTTATTAATACATACTTAGAGTGTTGAAGAAATTCAATCATAGTCTTCTATATAATGTACTGATACATGGTTTAACAATAAAGTTGACTTGACTTGCAAGTTGTCCTGACATGTGCTTTCTGCTGTGGTCATATAGCTGTCACCCTCCAGCTCAAACTCTGGCTCTAGGCTAGAGGTCCACTCTGGATGGTTCTGACCTGTAAGCTGTGATGCCTTCATATTCCTCAGCATCACTACCCTTTCCTGAGCACTGGCTGATGGTTCCACTAAACAAGCTGATTCATAAATATTTCCATCCATCTCCATTATCAAATTTTGAGCTAGCTCCAAAAGAGTTCTCACTTTGAAATCACCACAGAGAGACAGGTTTGTACTATATATTAATCAGTAGCCGTTGTGCTCCTAAATGTAGAATAATGTTAAAAATATGTATGTTTGATTCACAATAACTTAGAACCTCCTGGTACACGTATGTCCTGCTGCATGATGTTGGGATCTGGAGGTCTGTCCATTTTTCTCCACCAGAGGACGTTCTAGGTCTCCTGGAGCTGGAGCTGACTTCACCACCTGCGGCTCGTTTGCTCATCAGGAGACCAGTATATAAGGAGGCAGAGGACATCACTCCGACGCCAGAGTATTTTGCCAGTTATGGTTAGCAAGCCTGAGCCAACCTGCCTGTCTGAATCTCTGACTCCCAGAAAGCCTGAACCTGAACCTAATCTGTTTTTGTCCTCTCTGCTTCCCAGGTTGAACCTGCCTGAAACCTGAAACCTGGAAGAGTTTCTCTGCTGGAAATCTGTCAGTCTGATCTCTGAGGAACCCTGGAGAATCAAACCTGTCAAAGACCTGCCTGCCCGCTCTCAGAAGAATCTGAAAGGGAAACTCAAACCTGTTCCTGCAAACTCTCAAACCAATCTCTGCCTCCGCCAAGCCCTCAGCCTGCCGACAGCCTCTGGACCCTCCTGGTTCACCCTCTCTGCCGCTCTGCTCAACTCCAGATCAGGTACAGACCTGCACTCTCAAACTCTGCAAATTACCTGGACTTCAGCTAACCACTCTGTCCCTCTCTGCAGTGAACCCAGTCGTGACCAGTCCTGGATCTAATAACCCCTTGGATCAGTTCTTTATTCTCTGTGTTGTTTCAATAAACCTTTGAACTTTTTCCCTTGAGTCCGTGTGTTCTGCATGTGGGTTAGAAACCTTAAACCAAACATGACACATGATTTTAATGCAAAATTACATGAAATCAATATTGCCTCATCAACACCTTAAGGATACAACACATTTTAAGGCTACAAGAAAATCTTCCAAAACATAAAACGTAAAAGCTGCAATCATCTAAAAATTCCAGTTCCTTCAGCTGGATGAGTTCTGAAGAACAGAGGAAATCTGCCCTCATTTCTGACTCAGCTTCCCCTTTTCTTTTGGAGCATCATCATATTGGCAGTTCTACAGTAGCTATGCTCCATGTGCAGCTTCCTCCAGTGTTGTCTCATAATTTACTGCATCACCTTGCCATCACCTTTCACTGGGCTTACGTTGGCCCACCCTTCTCAAAGCCTGCACACTTCCACAAGGCTTAATCTTTCCATTTCTTGAGCAAGGTTTATGGTTGTAGCTATCAAGTTAATAGATTTTGTTCTGACCACCTCGTGTTTAGCTTGTCCTAAATGCAGCTTTATTTTTGGGCATAATAAAACCACCAAACCCACAATGTGACTCTCCTGAGTCCGGTCTAGTGATGGTAATGAAGCAACCATGAATAATCATCAGCTCCTCCTGAACCTTTAACTATGATTCCTTGCAGGTGATCAGGTATCTGTCTGAGAAGACCACCACCGTGCTTTTGAAGCCAATTCAGATGCGCTTTGATCCAACCCAGTCTCATGGGAAAATTTACCCCCACTACGTTGGTCCACACTGCAAAACGTAGTGGAGGTACATTAATGGCCATTTTTTTGTGGTACTGTTACATTTCTTCTGCCTATACGCTTTCTATTGTTTTACGTCCTAGTCACGTGACTTTCAAGATTCCAGCTGGGAGACGGAAAAAAATATATATATGGCCGACATTCGCTCATTTTTTTGTGGAAAGATTAATAACTTGAGTTTGTTTTTGCATTAAAATGAGTTTTGATTACATTTCTAGTGAGAAATGTATAGTTTGTTGCCAGAATATTTACTCAGGGAATGTACATATTCACTTGCTTGTTCGTTTCTTGCAAAGATTTTTCAAGATAATGTGAAACTGTAACGTTTTGGTATAAACATGGCCGAGATTTCTCTAACTTTTAGTGGGAAAATCAATAATTTCAATCAGTTTCTGCATTTAAATGGGTTTTGATTACATTTATAGCGAGAAGTGTAGGGTTTATTTACATAATATTTACTTAGTGAACATACATAATCACCCGCTTGCTAGTTTTTGCTACAGTTTTTCGGATCTCGTCAGGATTATGTGAAATTGCAACGTTTTGGCTGCTACCCATCGCCTAGCATTTAGCTGCCGCCCCGATTCAACATTGAATTCTTTGTGATTTAACTCCATCTGACGGATCAAACCCTCGCCACTGCGTGCGTTGCGTCTGAGGTTGATTTTCAGATCAATGCATTATGTCGTGGCATACAGCAGAAACTTATGTTGACAAAATGATCATGGGTCAAGCTCGGACGTGTTTTATTTGGAAATCTACCGGATCCTTTGTGCATTTAACTTCCTGTTTGGTGCGATCTCATTGATGGGTTTTGACCAGATTTTGACCAAAGAGGAACTCAAAAAACAAATAAACAAACAATTTAAATACACAACCAGCATATCTGGAATCAATGACAGAGAGCGACTGGGACCAGAAATTTATTAATTTCTCCCCATTAATTTCCATTCAAAATGTTTTCGGTCCCACCGGGCTCTAGGGAAGGGGCGTGCATACCGCCACCTACTGTTCATGAGTGTGTAGCAACATTGTTTTACATCTATTAAATTCTATTTTTTTATTTTGTATTCTGAAGATAAATAAATAATGCTTTCCTTAATCTATAAATATCTTTTATATTTCCTTTATTTTCCAATAATCCTTTAAGACTCCATTCTTGGTCTGTCCTTTCAACTCTTTTCAATTTCTCCCTTTCAGGTTCATATGTTTTACAGTTCATCAATAGGTGTTCTACATTTTCTATCTCTCCACATCCTTCACATTTGTCATTATTTTTCGTCCCTATTAAGTATAAATTGTCATTTAAATAGGTATAACCTACTCTTATCTGATCATTATTATTTCTTCCCTTCGGTTTCTCTCATTAATATTTCTATTTAATACTGACTTTTGTACTTTATATAACCTTCTTCCTTTTTTATCTTCATTCCACCTTTTTTTTTGCCATTTTTCAATTTCTTTTTAATAAATGATTTTCCTTCCCCTTTCCCTAAAGGAATTGTTATTGTTATTGCCTCCTCTAAAGCCCTTTTTGCTAATTTGTATGCCTTTTCATTTCCTTTTACCCCTTCATGTGCTGGAACCCAACAAAACCAAATATCAATGCCACTTCTGTATAATCTAAATAAACTGTGCTGAATTTCTAATACAAAATCTTTCCTATTATTTCCTTCTCCCTGAATACTTTCTAAAACTGCTTTGGAATCCGTGCAGACCACCAACCTGTCTGCTCTGACCTCAACCCATTGGAAACTCAGTATAACTGCCACCATCTCTGCTGTGAAAACAGATAGTTAATCTGAAATTCTTTTAGAAATGTATATTTTGAACTCTGGTACATATATTCCCACACATCCTTTTAAATTCTTAGAACCATCAGAATATATTTTAAGATAATTATAATATGAGTTTTCTTGTTGGAATCATTAACTGCTTTAAAAAAATATTATTATTATTATTATTATTATTATTAATATGCTTTTCAAAGAATTTCTAAGAAGCGCTTTTGTGCCCTTTTGATCAGTGAGGTGGTGTTTACATTCCAGATGAGGGTGTCTGTGATGTGCACCCCCAGGAATTTGGTGCTGTTGACCACCTCTACAGCTGAGCTGTTGATTACCAGCGGAACGAGGTTAGGCCGGTTCTTCCAGAAGTCCAAGATTATCTCTTTCGTCTTCTGCACAGTCAGGATCGGGCTGTTATCTTTGCACCAGTCGACCAGCTGCTCCACCTCCTCTCAGTAGTTCTGGTCGTTTTTATGACTGATGAGGCCCACCACCATCTGCAAAATTCGTGATGTGATTGATGGTGAACCTGGGGACGCAGTCATGTGTCATCAGGGTGAACAGCAATGGGCTCAGGACGCAGCTCTGAGGGGAGCCTGTGCTTAGAATGATGACATCAGAGATGACATCCAGTTTGCCCATCAGATGATGTGGGATGATAGTGTTGAAAACTGAACTCAAGTCCAGGAACAGCATCTGCATGTTGGTGTTCCTCTCCTCCAGGTGTGCCAGGCTCAGGTGGAGAGCAGCAGAGACAGTGTCCTCAGTGGAGCAGTGCCGTCGGTAGATGAACTGGAACGGCTCGAATGTTGGAAGCACACTGGAGACGATGTGTTCTTTAACCAGCCTTTTGAAGCACTTCATCATGATTGGAGTCAGTGCGACAGGCCGGTAATGATTAAGTGAGGTGACTTGAGGCTTCTTTGGGACTGGAATAATGGTGGTACACTTGAAGCATGCTGGCACTATGGCTTTTTATCCAGCAAGGTTTTAAAGATGTCTGTGAGGACACCAGGCAGCTTATCTGCACACTCTTTATACCCCCAGCCAGGTATGTTATCAGACCCTGGGACCTTCCTTGGATTGACTCTCCTCAGAGTTTTCCTCACTTAAGCTACGTCCAGGTTTGGTGTCTCCTCCCAGTGGTGTGGAACGGCTTTCACTGCTGGAGAGCTGTTTAGTGCCTCAAACCTTCCAAAGAAGTTGTTCAGTTCATTTAGGAAGTCAGTGTTTGCTGAGGGTTTTCTGTAGTCCGTGATCATCCGAATGCCTTTCCAAGTCCTCCTGGTGTTTGTGTAAAAAATCCTGGATTTTCTGACTGTGGTTCTGCTTTGCTGATCTGATGACACGGTTTAAGATGGCACGTGCTGTTCTCATTACCAGACTTGAAAGCTGAGTTCTGTGCTTTTAGCGATTTCTAAACCTCTCCTTTTATTCATGGTAGTTGGTTGGCAAGGGTGGTGATGTTCTTTTTGATGCTGACGTCCTCAATGCATTTTTTTTATGTAGGCTGACATGGTCATGGCAGAGTCATCAATATTGAATAAGTTGTCATATGTTGCTGCAAGATGTATGTTCCAGTCAGAGCATTCAAAACAGCCTTGGGCCGTTTCTCAATTCACTAGAACGTGAGTATGGACTCGCCAAATATGTTCATGAGAAGAACACAGGAAAGTCTGGACTTGGTGAGAACAGGAGCACCTAGCATAAATATGGTCTATTGGAACAGAAGCGTACTTGTGACGTCACCACACGCTCAGCTTGTCTAGAGCTGCATTTCACCTTCTGTTATTAATAGTCTCTAGATAATAATAAATTCAGAGTTTTTACATTTAGTGGGGAAATAATAATTAACAACAAGCCGAGTCTTACGCCTTAGTTCTTTGTTCCTATCGGCCCGGTGTAGAATTAGCCCCCCCAGGTTAATAGCATTGTCTGGTATTGCTGGATGCAGCCATGACTCGGTCAGAACGATGGGGCAGCAGTTACTAATCTCCTTCATTGATGGGAGTTCCAGTCGAAGATTATCCATTTTGTTTTCCAGCAAGGGACGTGGGAGAGCAGGATTGATGGAAGTGGAGGTCTGTGAGAATTCTTCTTTAGCTTCACAGTTAACCCCACTCTACTGCCTCGCTTTCTCCGTCTTGTGCATCTCTTCCTCGGCACTTACGTTCCGCTGTTGTAATTGTTGAGATCTGTCCATAGCACTCCGCAGCTTTTTAAACGGTCAAAAATGTCAGTATATAAAACATTTTGTGACCGTAGCTCCAGCAGACGTTGGCGATCATAGATGTGCGTTTGAAATTTAGTTTGTATCGTTTTTGAAGCAGCATATTTTGTGAAGTTGTCAAGAGCAGCTGTTCTTGGCCACTGCTTTGGAGCGCTGCCATTGTAA